TTAATAGCTACCATTTTTCAAAAATGTTAATTTAATGTAAATTTAGGGAAATCGGAACTTTTTTGAGGTTTTGTGCGGATACGAGCTGTCTCGGTTGTTTCCGAATCAAATAATTGAAGTGAGTGACCTGAAGCAAACACATAATTTATTGTATTTTTTTTGCAAAATGTAGGAATTCGAAACATGGGATAATGAACGCGCGATTTATTTCTTTATTTAGGACTTCACTACAAGCATTTTTGTTTGTGTTTTTTACTTGGCATCAACTCGAACTAAAACAAACAATTAGCCGAAACTACACTCGAGTTCCCGTCAATTGACCCGGAATTATGCCAGGACTATTAACTGGCTTTCAATCACTAACACGCATAAATCACTTTTAATTTATAATTTGTACAACAATTTTACATAGGCTGGAACTTTTATCTATCATGTTCAAATTATACTTTGTGGCTTAAGAAACTTTTTCCTTGAGTTTTCAAATACATGGTTTTCGCGTGCTTCTCAAGTAGCTGATAAAATTTTTCACTGCTGCAACTCACAGATCAACATTACGAGGTCAAACTGTGCATTCTGTGCATTGTAAGCGGATTCTTCTTTTTTTCACTAATTTCTTTTGATAGATGCGATAAATTTTTAACATATTTGAGGACTTTCTCTGGAATCCAGGAACATAAAGACACAAAATTGTGCGTCTATCCAGTGCACAGTTTGGCCTCGTAATGAAGGGCAAACCTTTTTGTTTCGGATGAATGATTGTATGGTTGTTTTCGGTTCATTGATGTGTTTCCGACATTTGGAGGACAAAATGTACACTGCACCAGTTGGGCGCAAATCTAGGTATTTGTAGGTCTCTGGAGAAAAGAGACAAGTGTTCAAACAATTTTTTCGGAACAAAAAAACCGAAAAATCGAAAGAAAATCAAAAAGAGCGGCTTTGTTGCAGAATCCGCTTATAACTCACAAAGTACACATTTCGGCCTCGTAAATGAAAATGAAGAAAATTTAGAACAAAGGCGTGTTTCGAAATGGCAAGGTCAGCTAATTGTTTCGACTTTCGATACGAAAATAACGGAATATTTGTGCTCGGGTGGGTTTTTTTTCTTCAGACAAATTTCGACTTTTCAACTAGCCATTTTTGACGAAATTTTTTTTTATCATTCGAAAGGTATTGTTGTCCTGAGCTCAAATTTGAAAAGATATTTCACCTGTGATCATTTTTCGTTAAGTTACGGGGGTTTAAAAATTGCCATTTCGGCCAATTTGGGACAATTAACGCGCGATATATTTCGCACTATAACGCGTAAGCGGAGAGCTAATCCGTCTTAGAAATCGTTCCAAATTGGTTGAAAGAAGCTTATTTGCCATAATTGATTTGTTACAAGGAGCGTAATCTATTCTTTGGATCTTTATATGGCGTGTGGGGGAATGGTTTTCATTAAAAAAATTCAAATTTAAGAAAAAAAATGTCATTTTTTTTTCATTTAATTTTTTAATGTTATTACTGCTCCATAAACCTTAAAAGGCAGTCGGAACATTCAGGGCTTCTGTCGATATAAGGAGGGGAGGGTAGAAACCAAAAGTTTATTCAAATAAAAAAGTTAATGAACTGAAAAAAACTTGACATTAATTTACTAAACAGAAAGCGTGTTTACGTTGCGACAGTAGATGCTACTGTTCAAAAAACATCTGCCCAAAACAAAAAAAATCAAACTGTCTATAACTAAAGGTTGAAAGACTCTTTTTCTACCATCCAAGGAGGAAGTTAAACTTTAATTTTGGTGTAATTAAGACGGGCTCAACAAATACTTGGTTATTGTTCCGACTTTCGATACGAAAGTTACGGAATATTTGTGCTCGGGGTGGGTTTTTTTTTCTTCAGACAAATTTCGACTTTTTACCTAGCCATTTTTGACGCATTTTTTTAATATATCATTCGAAAACTATTGTTGTCTTGAGCTTAAATTTGAAAAGATATTTGACCTGTGACCATTTTTCGTAAAGTTATGGGGGTTTAAAGATTGCCATTTTGGCCAACTTGGGATAATTAACGCGCGATATATTTCGCGCTATTAACGCGTAAGGGGAGATTTAATATGCGTTAGAAATCGTTCCAAATTGGTTGAACGAAGCTTATTTGCCATAATTGATTTGTTACAAGGAACAAAATCTATCTTTTTGTACTTTATATGGCGTGTGGGGGGATGATTTTCATTAAAAAAAAATTCAAATTTTAGAAGAAAAAAAATTCATTTTATTTTATTTCATTTAATTTTTTTATGTTTTACTGCTGCTCCATAACCCTCAAAAGGCAGTCGGAACATTCAAGGCTTAGCCCTGATACGAGCAGTCTTGTATGTATTGATTTTTGATTGAATTTTTAATGTAATTTTGAATAACTTTCTGATTTTCTGCAATTGTTTTTTTAAACAAAAACACAAAAATCAATAAAACTATTCACAAGCTTGAACCCAAAACACAGCCTCGAAGCGTATGACATCAACCATTTTGTTTAAAAACAAACAACTATCAATTAATTTTTGAGTTGTTGAAAGCGTTTTTTCAAAAATTTTTCAAATGCAAAACGTTTCCGGAAACCCTGAAGCCGCTAAGATAATACAAAAAGACAAGAAAGATAACCAAAACAACCATGCAATTTTTATATCAATTTTTATCGCCATTTTTTGCCGAGTTTTTTGAGAAGGTGATTTTCAATTTTTTGACCATTTTCTTGTCAAACGTTATAGACTCAGTCAAAAATATTTGTATTTAGATCAAACCGAAACACTATAGACGCTATTGTATTGCTCGTGAAAACAAATAGGCTTCGTCGGAAAGATCAAACCATTTTGACACGATACACTTTCATATACATGAAAAAAGACTTTTGATACATGTGACCACTCTATTTTGCTGCAGAAATGCAAGTCATATGGACGGAAATGATCTACTTTGCACTTACTGAAATCGTATTAAGCAAACAAAAATTAAAATATCAACGCAAAAGTCTTAATCAAACTACCAAAATTGTTTTGCTCATGCGGATCGTAGTCATTAAACAATTTCTTCATTGAGAAGTCTTAGAAAAAGTAGTTTTTGGTTAAAAAGCAATAAATCAAACTAATTTTAAAAAATTGAAACAATGGTTTTTGGTAAAAAACAGCTGCCCAATTTTTTTTTCAAATAAAACAGTGAAAAGGAAAATAGACGTTTCAAATATCTTTGAAGATGAAGTTGATTTCGGAAAACACAATAATACTTTGACAAAAAAAATAAGCCAAAACTCTGGGCATTTTGAAAGGTCTGGGCATTTTTAAACTTTGGCCTTAAAAATTTTGTTCAGTCAATTTTCGAAAATGGGGTTCTAGTTTAGGCATCCAAAAAAATTGAAACAATTTAGCTAAAAAAGAAGAAATTTGAATCATTCAAACAAAAAAATCAACAAAATAAAAGTTTAAATGATAACAAAACCATTTAAATGATTACAAAACCATGAAATCCTATATGTGAATGCTAGCCTGAAATTTCAATTACAATTACAATAAAAATGCAACAAAACATTTCAGCTGAAAAAAAGGTTGATTGCATAAAAAAACTCAATTTCTGCTAGAAAATGCGCCTTCTTCAACAGTTTGCTTTTTTTGTTGCCTAAATAGAAAAGTTTTCAAGCTGATACTGACTAGATAGGTAGGGTGGTTCGCAGCGTAGCCATAATAAGTCTGAAAAAATCTTCTCCGCTGTTTTTCGACAACATTTTTGGAACTATTTTTTCTGGTGAACCACTAAACTGTAATTCTAACAAACGGTAAAATTTTTCCCATTCTATCGCTTCCTATTTGTGAGCAATTTGAGCTTTCATCCCAAGTTTTTCCTCAATTACAAGGTATCCACGAAAATATTTTTAGTTCTCGCTCAGAGACGACTGAATACAAGCTAGATTTCGTCTTATGACGCTCTCTCGAGTGATATTTTTGTTTAAAAAAATTAATATAATTTTGTTTGTGTAATGATTTCACTTTGATCATTTGAAATTATTAGTCAACATTTATAAATTATGGGCTTCATTCTGGTAAGAAAAAAAACAGTCTTGTTTGAATTACGGTTTTTGCTTAAGAATTTACTCTTTTTTGAAGCTGGCAACTGCAGCATTTTTCACTGAATGGCACCAACTTGGACACTTTTTTTACTATCTTAGTTCAAAACTTGGATAGTGTACGGTTTAAATCTCTGAATAGCCTCAAGTTTTTCTTTTCATCAGTTTTTTTATTTCATCTGAATAGTATTGTTTGTTCACACATGCGCTTGTTCAGGAATTGAGTCGATTTGATGGAACAAAGTCGTCATCGACATCAATCTCTATTTTGTCACCCGAAGCCACCCTTCGTTCTTAGTCACTTTGAAATAGATTTTTGATACTTTTTCACACTAAATGAGTTTAATTCAATTTGCGACCAAAACAAGAATGTAATTCTGATACACGTTGTCTCGTACCGAAAAAGTACCAAAAATACCAAACATGGAAAAAAAAGGCATTCCATACACATACCCTGGGGTTAAATGTTCTTCCTACTTTTCAATTAAAACGTGTATACTTTTACCCAATAGTTCATATGATAGTTCAATTTAGCAAGCTCATAAAATCAGGGTATAAAAATATTTTACTCCAATCTCCAGAGCGATTTGGGTTCTATCATCGGCAAATTTTTATTTCGGTAGTCTTGAAATTTAATCTGTCACTAACTCAACAGAATTTACTGCATTTTTTAAAGTTGTTAATCGGCCATCCTCTTTGTAAATATTGAAAGCATAGAGCACAAAATTGCTGTTTCAGAATTGAAACTGAATCCGCTAAATTACCTCTGCTTTGTTTTGAAGCGCCCCTTTGGTCAAAAATAATTACTTCCTTGGTCCCATTTAATTGACATTGGCATCTTGCGGTTCCTGTATTTTGAAAATGCATCATTTCCTTATTCAAACTAATATTGACTGTTTACTCTTGCTGTTGGTAATTTGGTTAAGAACTGGTTATTAAATTGGATTTTTCTGAATATTACCGGCAAAAAAATTAGTTTACCTTTATTATGATTTTTGGAAAAACAATCCTATTTGTTTAGCAAGACAATCCCGCGTTTTCATTGATTTTGTTTCCCCAGGTGAAAGTGAAAAAAGAAATTTCCGAAACAGTAAGATTTACAACTCTGCTCCGAAGAAGTGTGCCTGATTAAGAAAAACATCACTTTTGGGATTGGAATTATTTTACGACTTTTTCCCCTTCCTAAAGCTCTCCTGGGAACTGGGAAAATTGAACCAGGAAATTGGCCTTACATAAATCTTATGTTAGATTTCAAAATTAACTTATTCTTTCCAAAATTTAACTGTCGTTTATTAGGTATTCTTACCGAACAAATATCGTTTAAAAATAAAACGATTTCTACTTGAAAAAGAACGTTATCGAGTTCAGTTTTGAAACCCAGAGTTGTGATTTCTATCAGATGTTTGTTGTTTTCCTTAATTCTAAAGTTACAGGCTTTTGGTAATATTTTTTATAGCTGCGAGGCATTTCAAATAATTGCGGCTTTTCTTTATTTTTTCTTCTTATCGTAGATTGTATTAATTTTTGTTTTTTTTTTCTGCGCAAACTTCTGGGAAAATTTGCAATTCAATTTGGTCTCTCGAAATCCCGTGGGTTTTGATGCCTGTAATCTTCCGGGGTTTTCACGCCTCTTTTTAAGCCGTCCACTCTGCTTTTCTTTCAACCCATTAATTCTCTAATCATGGTTTTCTCATACCCATTACCCCTGCAACCTTTCAACTGGCCATTAGCACCATTGTCAAAAGTCATAACTAGCTCTAATGGTCCAAAAATAATTTAATCAAATTTCTACACTTCTGCTAATTTTTATCATAAAACTCTTTTATGCTTAATACTTATTTCTTACCACTTCTAACTCACCAATCTTTTTGATTAGAGTTATAATTCAATTGGTAACTTTCAAACCATTTCTCAAAAATTTATTTCGATAGTTATAACGCAAATAAAAATCCCCATTTATATCAAAATTAATTTTTGTCAGCCATTTGATTGCTACAGCGAAGCTTGTTATACAGTCACGTTCAATATGTGTTTGGAAAAGCATCTTTCAAACCAATTCAACCCAAAAAACAACAAAAGTGGTGTTGCATATGGCTGCAAAGCTTCTATTTGAAAAGTTAAGCAGTTGAGGTCAAGGCCTGTTTTTAATAGAAAATTAAAGTTAATTTGATGTTTAAAAAGTGCCTTCACAAAAAGCTTCCATGACGATATTTGATTCTTCTGTGAGAAAAATTCAACCTGGACTACGCTTTGGAAAAAAAACTTTGCTGCACAAAGTTGTTGAATGGGAACTTTTAGAATGAGCGTAGAAAGGATTTTGAAACGCGAAAAAGAATTTCACACGTTATTGTTCCGACTTCGATACGAAAGTAACGGAATATTTGTGCTCGGGTCGGTTTTTTTTTCTTCAGACAAATTTCGACTTTTTAACTAGCCATTTTTGACGGAATTTTTTTTATATCATTCGAAAAGAATTGTTGTCCTGAGCTCAAATTTGAAACAATATTTTAGCTGAGATCATTTTTTTGTAAAGTTATGGGGGTTTAAAGATTGCCATTTTGGCCATTTTGACCAATTTGGGACAATTAACGCCCGATATAATTCGCGCTATTAACGTGTAAGCGGAGATTTAATCCGTCTTATAAATCGTTCCAAATTGGTTGAACGAAGCTTATTTGCCATAATTGATGTGTTACAAGGAACGAAATCTCTCTTTTTGTTTTTTATATGGAGTGTGGGGGGATGATTTTCATAAAAAATTTCAAATTTAAAAAAAAATTTCATTTTATTTTATTTCATTTAATTTTTTTATGTTATTACTGCTGCTCCATAAACCTTAAAAGGCAGTCGGAACTTTCAGGGCTTCGTCCTGATACGAGCAGTCTTGTTTGTTTTGCACAAATTTGTTAAATGGGAACTTTTAGAATGAGCGTAGAAAGGATTTTGAAACGCGAAAAAGAATTTCACGCGTTATTGTTCCTACATTCGATACAAAAGTAACGGAATATTTGTGCTCGGGATGGTTTTTTTTTCTTCAGACAAATTTCGATTTTTTAAATTAGCCATTTTTGACGGAACTTTTTTATATCATTCAAAACGTATTGTTGTCCTGAGCTTAAATTTGAAAAGATATTTCACCTGTGATCGTTTTTCATAATGTTATGAGGGTTTAAAGATTGCCATTTTGGCCATTTTGACCAATTTGGGACAATTAACGCGCGATATAATTCGCGCTATTAACGCGTAAGCGGAGATTTAATCCGGCTTATAAATCGTTCCAAATTGGTTGAAAAAAATTTATTTGCCATATTTGATTTGTTACAAGGAACGAAATCTATCCTTTTGTACTTTATATGGCGTGTGGGGGGATGATTTTCATTAAAAAAAATTCACATTTTAGAAAAAAAAATTTCTTTTGTTTTATTTCATTGAATTTTTTAATGTTATTAGTGCTCCATACACCTTAAAAGGCAGTCGGAACATTCAGGGCTTCGTCCTGATACGAGCAGTCTTGTTTGTTTTAGCTCGAGTTGATGCCAAGTAAAAAACACAAACAAAAATGCTCGTAGTCCTAAATAAAGAAATAAATCGCGCGTTCATTATCCCATGTTTCGAATTCCTACATTTTACAAAAAATACAATAAATTATGTGTTTGCTTCAGGTCACTCACTTCAATTATTTGATTCGAATTCGATACTGAATTCTTTTTAAAACTTTGCATAATTTCTCCTCGCCCGATTGTGGAGTTTTTGTCGTACGCCAAGATTTTGTAACTATTTTTTGAGACTTAGAATTAGTACAAACCTATATGTTCTAAAATAGACAGCCCGGCGTGACGTACAGAAGTTGTAGTGGAGGAACAGAAATTTATCTAGAAGAACGTAAGTCTTTGGATCCATTTTTTTGGTCAAATCAAGGGTGTGTTTAGCGGTGGGGTGGGTTTAACCGTTACTCTTTTTTCAAAAATTAACTACCCCTACCCCTGACCACTTTTGTATAATTTACAACATCATCTTTAGCTCACCCATGGCTTAAACACTAAATACTTATTGAACGTGATTTTATTTCAATAAGGTTTATTTTCATTTGAGTAAAAAGGCTTCGTCTGTTAAAGATCTCTTTTGATCTACTTTGAGATTCAAATTACTTGTGATTCAAACTTTACTGCTGTTTTGTGAAATAATACAAAGAATACAGCGAACATGGAGGTTTCGTACGAGACTTTGAACAACAACGAAGGCACCCTTCTGATGGACACGAGAGCTGAGAAGAGCTTCAGGTCCACGTACACTCTAATCGGACTCTCATTGGCCATAACTGGACTGGACATTTGCTACAGTGCAGAACTGGTGTATGCCAGTCCTCTCATTCTCAAGTACCACGTGCCAGAGTACCTCATGAGCTTCACTTGGGCATTCAGGTCACGTGACTTTTTAATCACTTACCTAATGAGTAGTTTTTTGACAAGAAACAACACCTGTGTCAAATGTTTTTTTTGTAAATTCACGTTTATTACTTTCATTCCATATATAAAATTTTAGGAATTAGCAATTAAAATCAGTCAAAATGATATTCAACCGTTGATAGAACGATGAAAAAATCTAAAATTTACGTGTTTATGTCATTGAATTGTTATAGATAAAAACAATTTCGAATTTATTTTTTGTTAACTTCATACTTTGAAAGCACAAGTCAAATAAGGGAAACTTAGAATACATTTTGTTTTTAATTCCTCTGAGTGTAAAAATTAATGTGATTTTGTCTTTGTTCAGCCCAATTCTGGGGTTCTTCCTAACCCCCCTGCTGGGATCTCTAAGCGACACGTGTAACCTCAAGTACGGCAAACGGAGACCGTTCATCGTGCTGCTTGCAGTCATCATTATAGTGGGGGCTCTGTTTCTGTCCCAGAGTGGCAATGTCATCATCTACTTCACGGGGAGGGGGCCTCTAAACAGCACCCAGATAGACGCCGTCCCTACCAGAGACCAGTTCCAGAGGAGTGGCAACGTGTATGACAGCTCCTACACGAGTCTCGTTGTCGTATTCACTGTTGTAGGTGAGAAACCACTAACCAAGTCAAGACCTAACTCCAACTACTTGAGTTACTTAACCCTGCCCCTCCCCCCCCCCCTAAAGCCGATTTGGCGTCGTGGGCATTAAACTGATCCGAAATAACTTTTTATTAACATTTTTTTCATTCATCTGCTTTTGTTTATTTCTTTTTCTTCATCAGTTTTGAAAGAGTTATGAAGGTATTCATTTTTCGTGGCTTATTTCAATTTGATCAATTCAATTCTAATCAAAACAACTACATAAACTACAAAAAATACGAACCTAATTTTTTAAAGTTTAATAATTTGATGTTAAACTGTTTCTGCTGTATAATGCAAACGTTTGCTGCTGAGTTTAATATAATCCTGAAAAATTTTTCTGGTAATCATGGAAAACATTTTGTAATATATTTTCTCGAGAGAACGGAATGTTAATGTTAATTGAACTTTTGTAGCTGTAATGTTATTTTATGCTACACTAACTCGGTAGAGAAATGCGGAGCATATAGCGGGGCAAAAAGCGGAGCATATTCTATATTCATACTTCCCCAACGCTTTTGGAGCAATAACCTCGAGGGCATGATATTAGACCCAATTCGTGACGTGTTTAATGAACAGTCAAAAACTGATACATTTAAATCTCATGTAAGCATGAACCATGCGCCATAATTACAAATAGTGAGTTTTTAGAAATAGTGGCATTCTTTTTGGCTTACTTTTCGGTGACTAGATTACAAAAATAGTGGCATAGTTAAATTATAGCGGCATTTTTTTTCTCTAGCGTTTGATGCGCCTTCAGCAGAAGTTGCAATCTTGTCAAAAATGCCCTCCCTTGTGCGCGTAAATCTCCACAAACCGAATCGTAAAAATATTGACTTTCAAACAGTTGAATTACAGAGCGTTTTCTCGGCAAAACTAACACTGGAAATCTATAATTTTAAAGTTTTCAAAACGTATTTCATCATCGGTAAGATCGGCCACAAAAAACTGCATAACTCAAAGCAAGCTGCAAAAATGGCCAGTATTTGTCCTTGAGACAAATTGCTCTTTTTAAAGGCCAGCCTTAATCAAGGCTGAACCAAATTAGAGCAAAAAGACGGTTAAAATAGGTTTTGGGTGGATCGAACCTGGTTACGGAGCATCCCATCAAGTTCGGGGCATATTTGAGTGCTAGAAAGGAAATGACCTAGGCAGGATTCGAACCGGCGCCGAACCCGCCGGGACGCACCATGTATACGCTTGGCTACTGTTCCTAAATGCATTTATACTCTCGCACATTTGCGTTTATATTTGCGCTGCAACATCCTCCACCCCTAAACAAGGAAGAACGGGAGCGAATAACGGTTTTTATGTCGGCGGATCTCGCGCATCCGTCCTTGCCATAGTGCAGTCTTAGAATATGTGCGAGTGGATAATGTCCACGTGGAGTGTCAGGCTCTATGACCCAAGCCAAGTCGCCGGCTTTCAACTTAACATCTGACTGGTTGTGCCACTTTGCCCTCCTATTGAGGGAAGGAACGTATTCCCGCATCCACCGTGTCCATATTGCGTTAGCGTATGATTGCGCTCTGGCGAACCGCTTCTTATGGTCGAAGTTTTCTTCGAAACTTAGCGACGGAAAACTCGCTGCGTGTTGACCAAGGATAAAATGATTTGGGGTCAACGCCTCTAGATCTAGCGGATCGGAACTAACGGCTGTTATCGGTCTAGCGTTAAATGATTGCTCAACAAGGCACAGCGTGGTTCCTAGAACCTCCTCAGTTACTCTCCTGTTGCCTAGGATGTCATACAAAACGCGCTTGACACTCCGAACTAATCGCTCCCAGGAGCCACCATGGTGCGGTGCGCTGGGTGGATTGAGTTTCCACTTGATCCCACCTCGTTTAAGCAACGAGATTAAATCCCTACCTAATTTCAAGGCGTCATCCCTGTTTTGAAAAGAATCCAGATAATCATCCAAATAAAATTTCTGGACAACAGCCAAAGCAGCTTCGGGGTACTCAGCTTGATTATCCGATGCAGTCTTCTGAAAAGCAAAATTCGCACAATTCGGCGAGTCACGAGCACCAAAAATGTGACGCGTATATTGGTGAACTACCACACTTGATGTGGGGTCCTCCCGCCACAAAAAACGAAGAGAAGGTTGATCTTCTTCACGTACTCCAACCTGTAAAAACATCCCTTCAATGTCAGCTGAAACGGCGTATTTATGCTGACGGAATCTTAACAGTACAAAAATGAGGTTTTGAAGGAGATCCGGGCCAACCAACAGAGATTTGTTCAAGGAAGCGCCATGACACTTCGATGCCCCATTGAGGACTCGGCGCACCTTATCGGGTTTATTCGGGTTCAACACCGGGTGATGCGGGAGATACCACTCACGATCGGCTCGTGATTTGGGATCGTGTGCCTTAACGGTTATGACATATCCTTTTTGTATATCTTCTCTAATTGTTTCGGCGTATTTTTCACGGAGCGACGGATCCTTATCTAACCTCTTTTCCAAAGATTTTAATTGAGCTAAGGAGGAAAAATAGTTATTCGGTAAAGTACTTTCTTTATCGTTCCAAAGCATTGGTACAATGTACCTCTCACCATCGTGAAAGGTGTCATTTTTCAAAACGGACAAAGCGCGTTTGTCGGCGGCGGAACGGGCATCTACCTGCTTGAAGGCTCCATATGACTCCAACTCGTACCAAGTTTTAATTTGGTCCGCAAGAGACATGTCTTCGACAACACACTTAAAGCAAGACGAGTTCGATTTAAAGGACGGCGGTAACGGACCACTTAAAACCCAACCTATTGGAAGGCGTACGGCGCACGGTGAAATAGAGTCCTCCCCCAGAAGGTACAACGGGTCTTATGGCATGGTAGAAATCCTGTCCAATAATTATTTCGACTTCCTCATACTTATAATGTATAGGTTTTATCGGAGCCAACTGCGGGTATTTTTCCTGTAATTCAGGAATACTTATGCTATCCGATCCAATGCGAATATGATCCTTAACATAAGCTCGAAAAGAAAAAGAAAAATCACTATTATTCGTTTCGGCGGAAACTTGAAAACTTACTTGATGAGTTTTCATCAAGCTCGTGGAATTGAATCCATTTATGGTGAGGTTAACGGGAGTGCCAACAAAATGGAGGCGTTTTACGAGATCGGCGGATACCCATGAGTGCGTGGAAGCACTATCGCAAAGAGCTAGGGCATTAGTAATTGTCGCATCCGAAGAGACGGCGAGTGATGCAACTGGCAGGAGGCCTTTAGTTGACTCCTGGCTATGAATATCGCCGACGGCAGCGTTAGTCGATACATGTTTAGAGTTTGCGTTACCTGACGCCGGGGAACTTTTAGTATCCTTAGGAGGAAAAATTTTCTCAGCTCCATGTAAGAGCACGTTGTGCGTGCTTTCACAATCTGGCTTGGGGCACTTTCTGGCCTTGCTACAATTACGAAAACTGTGATTGCTCTGTAAACACGCAAAGCAAAGTTTTTGTTCGGCTACATGTTTCGCTCGCTGCGTAGCGTTTTTCTCGACGTCTGCACCAGGTGAATTTCCGGGAGTTGGCTCTGTGTAACTCGAAAAGTTACCGTGACAATCAGGAACGAACGGTTGATTAGCATGTGAAGAATTTTCAGGCTGTGCAAAGAACACAGTCCCTCCACTTGTATAAAAATAAAATTATTCGGAGGAACAATCGGAGTTACTGCGGAAAAAACAGTTGTCGAAGGAATGTAGTGTTGTTGAACTGACAATAAAGTGGCAGCAACAGCTGGTCTCCACAAATTTTTATAAGGATTATAGTGGTCACTTGAAAAGTTATAACTACTAACGGGAACACCCATATGTTGTTGTGATGGGACTGCAGGTGCTTGGTAGCCAGCTACTACTGACCCTGTAGTGTGATGACTTAAAGAAACATGATTAACTGCTGTTGACGCAGGAACGAACGGTGCTACACCAGAAGGAACATCTGCAGATGTTGTCGGAGCAAAATAATTTTCAGAAGTTACCGGGACTACTGTCCCTGTGTTTGGATTGCCTAGCACCGGATGAGTGGACAAAAGAGTTTGCTGAGGCAAATTATTAGAAACAGGTTGAATGACCTGTTGTAACCCTACTTGATTGTTAACGGAAACCTGCGATCGTACCAAATTTGACAAATTATGATGTTTTCCGTGAATGTGGTTACTGTAATGCAATCCCGGATCACTAGAAGCTGCCTGGCCATTTTTCACTCCTGTAAAACTTGGTGAGACCAAGTAATTTGTTAATGCAGGATAGGTTGCCTCAGCTGTTCAACGAACGTGCTGCTCTTGATTGGGAACTACACCAGCATCAGGCTGATTGTGGTCGACAGATTCGACCCAGTGACGCGTACGATCCTTTTCGTCTATTGTTAGTTGTGGAGAGATTCGAGTTAAACCACTTTCCTCAGCATTCTCGCTGATTTCCGACAACTCATCTTCTAACTCAACCCCTTTCAACTCAATTTCTGCCAGTTTTTTCCTGTGTTCTTCAGCCAATTCTTCCAACTCTAAACGGCTTTGTTGTTCTTTCAGTCTTAATGATACCTTTGCCTGCCTCTCAAGTTCCTCTTGTTGTTTCTTTAAAATCATTAAATCGCGCTTTTTCTCAGAAAGTGTTTTCGACGGAGCGGCGGTATAACTAGATTTTTGAGAACCCGATTGCTGATGTCGGCTGCTTCGATGCGACAACTTAGAGCGGGTATCTGTTTTATGCGACTGGGGTTTTTCCTTTTTTTCAGAATGATGAGAAACTTTTGAGCTGCTAACAATTTTGTCCGGCTCTGTTACTGCCTCAAAACTTGTTTTATATGTGATAGCTTCCTGCAGAACTTTATCGTTGCTTTGAGTCAACTTATGAAGCCACATATCCTGTGCCGGTATCAATTCGTCGGGATTGGCACTTTTTGCAGCCATATCAATCAACTCAGTTTTTATCTCGACCACTTGTTCTACATATTTCCTACACTTTTCAAT